ATGATAGTTGAGAAATTTCCTAGGCATTACCTAGGAAGGATAATATATTTATTGTACAGGCAAGCATTGCTTCTGAACTCAATAAATGGTTCAGTAAAAGAGGGATACCATTTTGTAATCCTGAACTGGAGAATATTTTACGTAAGATCCTCTCCCCCAAACGATTTCACTGTACAGTTCTTTTGAGTAGCACATATAGATGACTAAGGAGAATATAGATCTAGTGAGAAAATTCATTTATACTTTGTTTGCTTTTTGACACAGGGTTCAACTATGTAGTTCACACTAACCTTGAATTCATGTGTTGCCCTGCTGGCCTCAAACTCACCCTCCTGCCTTGCTAGGATTACAGGTGTGTGCCACCATGCCTGTCTTCATTTATAGTTCTTCTTAACCTTTTTCTCATAGGGTGGCAAATAGAAGAATGAAAGAGAAAAAATCTGAAAGCCTTTTTTTTCCCCATAAAGCCCCCATAAATGGAAGGTGCTACATAAACAGATACTCTAGATTTACCATGAACTTTATTTATTTTTGGTACCGGAGACTGAACTCGGGGCCTTGTGCTTGTGGGGCAGGCAGTGCAACCACTGAGCTAAATCCCTGGCTACCATGAACTTTAAAGGAAAAAAATAACACAATCATTAAGATGTCGATTACCTCACAAATTTAAGCATGGAAATCCTGTAACGCAACATGAAATCTCAAATGATTTTTAAAGTTTAAGTGAAGACGGCACTGAATCCCCCCCACCCAACTGATCCGAAGATATTATGAATTAGAAGTTAAAAGGAAAAGGCAGTGAGAATGTGAGGGTAAAAGGAACTCTTCTGTACTGTTGGTGAGAATTTTAATTATTATAGGCATTATAGGAATCAGCATAGAAGTTCCTCACAATAATAAAAATAAAAATAGAGCTACTATTTCCTCTACCACGCCTCAGGACTTCCCAAAAGAATTAAAGGCAGTGTACTATATGGGTTGCTGCATAGCCAGATTTACTGACGTGCAATTCACAACAATTCACCTATAGAGACTGCCCAGGTGAGCATGAGTGGACGGACGGAAGAGAGTGTGGTGCGTATACACAACAGAATACTATCCGGCCATGGAGCAGAACAAAATCACGTCATCTGCAAGGAAATGGATGCAACTGGACACCATCACGTGAGGCGAAGGGAAGTAGGTCAGACTCAGTAAGGTAAAATGCTGCAGCAGGTGTGTGGCACAGACCTGTTAACACACGCACACTGGGGGGCTCAGCCGAGATGACCCCAGGGTCAAGCTTATTGACTCAGCAAGACCCTGTCTCTAAAAAGGGGAAAAGGGAGCTTGTGATATAGCTCAGTGCAAAGGCCGTGGGTTCGATCCCTGGCACAGCAAAGAAAAAAAAAAGCCAAATACTGCATGTCGTGTCTCATATAAGGAATTGAGGGTAGGGGTTTGGGAGACTGTTTAGAAGAGGAAGGGATGAGGAGGGAGAAGAAAGAGGGAAAGGAGTAATGGGAGGATGAACAAAGTTGTTTTATGCATATGCAAATCTGCCAAAACGAAACCCCTAGTCTGTATAATTAAGATGCACTAATTAATAGAAAAAAGAAAGTCAGATATGTGCATGATAAACCTATAAGGCAACATTAGAGCATTTGCTGACCTCACAGTACAGCAGTAAGCAGGCTCCTTTATGCCAGTGTCATGACCAACCAAGAACGGACAGACCCTTTAAGAACGTCAGAAAGAGATTAAAGCCGAGTATCACGATGCACAGCTATAAAACCAGCTCCTAGGGAGGCTGAGGAAAGAGGCTCACAAGGCAAGGTGGAGGCCAGCCTTGGTGGAAAGATGCTGCCTCAAAATAAAACATAAAAAGGGCTGTAGATGTAGCTCAGCATTCCACTGGTTCAATTCCCACCACACTGCCCACCCTATGAAAGGAAGGAAGGAAGGAAGGAGATTAAAGTTTTTAAAATGTGCTGAAAACCTCAGCATTAAGTATAAATAAAATACATGTATGTCTATTTTAGAATATTGTATTTTTAAAGTATTGAAAAGAACCACCTATAATTCTGTTTTAATCCCTCTCTCTCTCTCTCTCTCTCTCTCTCTCTCTCTCTTTCCCTCTCTCTCTCTCTCTTTTTGGTACCAGGGATAGAATTCAGAACCTTGTGCTTGCGAGGCAGGGGGCAGAGCCATTAAGCTAAATCCCTGGCCCTGTTTTACTCTTATGAAGGTCTGAACAACAGTGTTCAGTTTAGGTCTACGCCTTTAACTTACTTTATCATGACATGAAGAAAAATGAGCAAGACCTTAACAAGTCTCTTTGTTTAAAAGCTTCAGGTAAGCATCCTCCCTCATCCCCTCCAAAGGCCCCAGTGGACTGAGCTACTTCCCCTCTCTCTGCCCCACTCTGGAGTCTGCCTCCTGCCCATTTCTGGTTCTATGCTGACCTCCTCTCCACCCACCCCCCTGGAGAATCTCCCCATCCATTTCATCTCTATTTCTGACAGAGGTCTCCTTAGCAGACCACTGGGGCTCATCACTCATCTTAACTGCACAGATACTTCAGAAAATTATTCCACTAGCAGCCTCTAATATCCTAGGAGACTTCAACGTGAGGCTCAAAAATCTACAGAGGTAGCAATGTATGATATAAACATAGGTTAGCTTGTCTCTCTGTTCTTTAAAAAAACCGACAAGGTCAAAAATAATTTTGAGGGCTGGGGATTTAGCTTAGCGGTTCTGTGGCCTGCCTTGCAAGCGCAAGGACCCGAGTTCAATCCCCAGTACCAAAAAAAAAAAAAAAAAGAAATTATAAATGTATCAAAAAAAGCCAAAGATTATTTTGGTAGTCTATATTTAAGCCGCTGAAAGTAATTTTGAAAATAATTATCGGAACAAAGCTTGGTGATGTGTCTTAATCATTGAGTGCTTATGTGTATAAATCACTGTGTACTGCATGGTCAGGATACAGGGAAGAATGCACAGATAAGATGTGTACACAAGTAATCAATTCCAGGCAGAAACATGATGAAGAAGTAGATATTTATAGAATAAGTGATATAAGGCTAATGAGCTAACAGGAAACTGTAAGAACTGACTGAATGGTACCTGGGTAGGCCTTGAAAAGTTAGGCAGATGCTGATGGGAGAGAGAGCAAAAGAAATAGCGCGAGAAAGAGCGGCCATTGAGATGTGAAGACACAGACTACTCTAAGAGAACAGTGGTTAGTTCAAATTTGGTCCGAAAATAGAGTAAATAAAAAGATAATCAGGTCCTGCTTTGCATGGTGAACACAGGGCTTCTGACATGTTTATAAAGGAGAGAAATGAAGCTACAGGGATGAAATAGAATATCAGAGAAAAGAAGTGGTACAGACAGAGAAAAGGGCCACAGATGATTAGAAATACTTTACATTTAAGAGGTCACTATTCTAAAACACTGTTGCTGTGAAAATTAACTACTTCTACTACTTCCTATATAAAATGTTACTGAATTTTATAATTCCCTTCCAAGCAATGACTGCTAAAGTAGGGAGTATGTTTAACTAAGCTACCTAATTCAGACAAAAAGGTCAGGAAGACTTGTACATAATATGCACACATTTAAAAGCTCTGGGAGGGCTGGGGATTTAGCTCAGTGGTGTCACCACCTGCTTTGCAAGCGCAAGGTCCTGAGTTCGATACCCCGCCACCCCCCAAAAGATCTGGGAAATTCAGTTATGCAGAATAAAACTAAGATCAGAAAAACTTTATAAGCAGCTTTCTCCAAGAGCCTTGAGGAAGAAAGAATTTCAATCATTTGTGGAAAAATGGATATACCTTGAGACTACAATGTTAAATGAAATAAATCAGACACGCAAGCTTAAATATCACATGGTTTCTCTTATATGAATACAAATAGCATAAATGAAAAAGAAAAATAGAAGATAGATAACAGGAAACAAGGAGATAGCTTTTTTGCATATTGAAAGAGGACCAAGAGATGGGGTTCTGAAGGTAAGGGGTTGGGGAGGGGAAGGAGACTATGGAGAGTGAAGATGTGTTATGTACATGTACCAACTCCCTGCGATGAATGTAATCATTACATACTGCTAACACGTACTAGTGAAAATTTAAAATCCCATATACTACATTACTGTGTTGACCTCAAAGTACAAACAGTATCTCTTAAACATTTTTGAATCCCAAAAGTCTGGCATTATCTGGTCACGTTTCTGTTGCTGGGACAAAATACATGACATCATAACTTAAAAGAAAAGCATTTACTTTGGCTAACAGTTCAAGGTCAGCTGGCTCCAAGGCAGAAATATCACAGTGGAAGAGCATGGTGGGGGAAAGCTGCTCAGCTCATGTCAGCGGGGAAGCAGAGAGCAGGGGAAAAGTCCAAAAGGAAGGAGGAGTTCAGGACCAGATGGGCTTCAAGGTCTCATCCTCCATTACCTATTTACACACACCCCAAAGTGTGCTTTACTAATCTCCTAGGTATCTCTCAAGACAATCTAGTTCAAAATCAAGATAAACAATCATAGGCATATATACAACCTAGCACTTAGGCTTCCTATAATATTTATCAATGAGAAATAATGGCCCCACATCAGTGTGTAGTCATAATATACAAGATGATCATGACAGACGTTTCACGGTATGTCCCTCCGAGACACACCCCAACAGAAAATGACTGATCTATATTCACTACACTAGACTTTCTAAGGTAAAAACCAGATAATATACAAATAGTTATTTTAAAATAAGTTTAATAGGCATTAAAACTGAAGGGTTATTTCACTTCATTCTAAAGTTAATGACCTAGAATATATCCCATTCTTTGAATACCCCAGTTAGTTCATGAGCTAGTCTTATTCTTTGAACATTTTACTTAGTTGATACTTCATATACTGAGTTCTAAAAGCTGTAATTCTGGCAATTTTCATTAGGAAAGAATGTCATTGCTTAACATACTACAGTAGTGACTGCCTGACTAGGCAGAAACATGATTCTTAGTACCTTTATGGTTTCAGTAGGTACTCCAGGCTCAGGAACTTTATCCAAGTAAGTGGTCAGGTCTTGATCAACATGTTCGAATACTAGTGTTAGTTTGGTTTCTCTGTCTGTCCGGGACACTGTGCACACATCAAACAACCTAGAAAAAGAAAAGGAGATTAAGTAGGTATAAATAAGAAGTTGTCTATACGTCTTACGTACATCCCTCGATTTCATCACATGCTAGCGCAAACAAAACGGCCAGTGTCTATCACTCCTGTTGTGATCTATATAAAGACACCTTATGGGATTTGCTTGTCTATATCAACATTGAAGTTCAGAAGAGGAACACAAGTGAAACACTTGGTTTGAGAGCACCTAAAGCAAGCGATCTAGCTGCAGCGTGTCCTTAGTGTGGACCTTAGATTGAACTTGTTGATGGAGATAGTTTTAAAAGTTTGCAGTCCAGGCAAAATATGCTTCTTCTTGACTGAAGTTTGAGAATTATTCCAGATAAACTAAGCATTTTTGGACTCTGCGATGAAGATTTTCCCGGAATTTGAGGTGTCACAACCATGTCTGTGAAGTTCTGAGGCAGCTTTCTCTTCCTAACGAACCAAATTATTATTTCTCTGGAAAGGGGATACATTCTTAAATTGGTTTTAAAATTCCCAATGTCGGGTTAAAACCAAAACTTAAAAATTTTAAAGATTTTTAAAAAAATTTATTTTTGACAGATTATAACTGTATACATGTATAGGATATGATGTGATTTTTGTGCTCTACTGACAAAGTACTGCACTGAATGGTGACTAATGAACAGTGCAATATAAGTTGAAAAACTGATAAAAGTGAAGAGTTTAAATGTTTTCACAATAATGATAAGTAATGTCACAGATTTATTAATAAGCTTTATTAAATCATTTCACAATGTAAACAACATTTTAAAATTTCTTTTTCAGTGGGAGGAAAAAACTGTACTGGTAAATTGTGTTGCCCTTAAGTGATTAAAAAAACAAATTAACAAACATTATAATTAAGTTTGGATTGGTGACTTCAGTTTCTATCATGAGATCTCATAACTGATTCAAAATGTAAGCTTTAAAAACAAACAAAAACAGATTCAGTAGTCAAAAGAAATTTCAAGCCAAAGGACAAAATGTCCTTCAGTTTCAACCATATCACACTATCTGGCAGAAGAGGATTCTCACCAAATGTTTGAAGAATTAAACCAGCCACAAACAAGCTGTAAGAAAAGTTCTTTTAAAACATGCAATATTAATACTAAGGAAAAGCTAGTAAAATTCTAGTCGTAATATGTTTTCATTAAAATACTAAATAAAAACCCTCTTCAAAGAAACTAACTGTATACGTGCATGCAGCACAGTTACTATAAGCAGGGCTCACATCCACTTGTCCAGGCCTAGTTTATGTACTACTTTCTTTAAATTTTCAATGCCCTGGTAGGCTCACCATGCCACCTCTACATTTCTGGGCTATGGGCCCTACAACATTTGGTACCTCTCTGTGAATCTAAACTACCTTTAAAGGGAATCTAAAGAACATTCTAATCAATTTACATCTGGTGGGGCAATGAGCCACCAAAGAGTTACCTGTAGGTCACAGTCAGATGTAAAGTACTGTTCAACGGTGGGCAATTTTGGGTGAATTCTACAACTACATTAAAACCAACCAAAATCAACTGAGTTTTTTCCCTCCCATTTATCTCCTTTCAGATATTCTGATTTTATGTTTTTATATCTATCTCTAAACTTAGTATAATCCTCTGTTGACTTATTCTGGAAAAGTATTCTGACAAGGTGAAAACTCCTAACTGATAAATTTATTAAAGAAAGTGCCATAAATCATGTAATCCGCATACACTATGAAATGTATGATTGCTGTCATACATGAATTTAACACTCGGAAAGTTGACCAGAATAATACTTGGAGCTTGACCATTTGAGGTAAATGCCACTTATTAATAGACTTCTTTGAGCCATATTATTTCTATTAAACACACAATCTTCAACAATTTTTTCTTTTTCTTCCTTTTGAAGGAGAAAAAGAAGTTTCAAAATTACCAAACTTCTTTGTATCTGTGACTAGTATATCTATGATAAAAGCGCAACAACCTTGAATGACATATATTAAATCAAATAAAAACATAGAAATGGTTGTATTATATGTGCATGATAGTTATGCTTCTCAAACATTGCTTTAAAGAACATTTCATTATAATTAACTCAAGAATACATTACTTATCAGGTTGTAATGATTTTTAGTAATTCTGGTTTCTTATGGCGTTTATAGTTTATAATATATGTAAGGCATTTTGGCAATTTTTAAAATAAAAGTAGTGTCGATGAGTACATAATGGGAGAACAAAATGATCCTAAAACACTGGGGAACCAAAAGGTCACCTGTTCCCCAAACCGTGGTTTCAGAAGTTACCTAACAGCCCAGGCAGCATGCTGTTGCTTCATCTCCCTGACACTGTTTTCAAGCACTCACAATTCATGAATAACACTAACTCACCCAACCAATTTTCCTCAAAGTTATATAACACCATTCACTTCAAAACACTAAAATTCACTGATGCAACACGCAGTAAATGGACTCCACATGCAACTTTCAAAGGATGCTCAAGACCCGTGCCCCTGCTAATTAACTTAAATGACTAACCTTGGAGAAAAAAAGCACACGTTCTATTGGTAGTTAAAGTGGGATACACTTTTTTTTTTTTTGAGACAGGGTCTCACATGTAATTGAGACTGACCTAGAACTCACTATGTAGCCCAGGCTGGTCTCGAACTCACAGCGATCCTCCTGCCTCAGCCTCCCAAGTGCTGGGATTACAGGTGTGCGCCACCATGCCCGGCAATACGATACATTTTAAAGAGATGCATGATGGTACATACAGCAGTGTTACCATCTGAATTTTAATGGATGTATTTCTTAGGCAAAAAAGAAGGGTGTCAGGCAGAAGTTGCTGGTCCAGTTTCAAGGTGATAATCTCATTAATTTTTAAGGTATTATTATTAATTTCATTTGGGAAAGGGCACATAATACTTTCACTTAGAAATTTACAAGGGCACCAAGTAAAAGTCCTAAGAATACTATACGATGTGCTCCCTGCCTTGGCTCCAATGCTAGCCATTCAAATCCTATACAGACCCATCACCATGGAGAAGACATTTAGGAAATACTGTTCTTCAGTAAAATACGAAATTTCGTTTGACTTAATTTTTCAGTAAATATTCTAGTAAAAGCTAACAGTTATATTAGTCTTAGTGGGTAGAAAATGCACTTCAAGACAACATTTATAAATATTAATCTTAGAAATTTTAGAATATTTATGATGCTTTTCACCTGACTTATTCTAAAATTACAAGTAACAGCAATATTGGTAAGAGATAAGACAGACAACACTTTAATATAACAAGTTTCATAAAAAGCAACTGAGTGGAACAATAACTGAAATCCTTGGTATTTGGCTGGAGGTTAACAGTACACATGTATATAAATCAATGAAGAATGTGGCTGGGCTTCCTATAACCCACACACTTGCAAAACAAAAGAGCTGAGCAGGTCTGAACATTTGAGCATAACACTGGAGAAAAACTTCCACTGTATGATTCCTGTGTTGACCAACATTTTTATGTCCCCTCTAAAACTTGGTTTTTTGCTAGTTTATTTAGTAAGCCGACAAAAATACCATTTCACTGACTGCATGATTGGACTTCCCTGAGAAAAATGTAATCGCACGGTTTGGAATATGAATAGAATATCTCTCAGATTACTTTCAGGGGAATTACCACTGAAACGTATCCATTAGAGCTTCATTCAATGTGATGCAAGTGAAGGTTTCTTCAAAAAAAGTAAGAGTAAAAAGATGTTTTCAGCATTCTCTAAGGCCATACATCCAGTCTAACTGTGCAAATGCAATCCAAACCAGGCAGATAGGTATGATCATTTCACAATTAAGTCAGCCAAGCCTCTGACTATCCCATGAAATAAGTTCTCTTGCTGTCTCTATTGTCCTGACCCTCCAGCTGCAGGGCAGAGAACAGGCACAGCAGTCCAGCACAGTGCTCGGCTTTCCAGCTGTCCTAGTGATGTAATTATCTCATAACAAAATATCTCCCCGAATTAACTCTGCATCCTACCCATTGTCATTCTTAATGACTGCTTCCTGTTCATGTTCTCAATTTAACTTGCTATTCGGGATCTACTACATAGGCCTCCATCTAATGGATGGGATTACACCCAATAGGTTTGGGATTTCCAAAGATTACAATTTACAAAGGTCTCCCAACAACATGCTTTGTAAACACGAGCAATGCCTTTCCATTGTGGTTACAATAAAAGGGAAATCTGTATTATTTGCTGTGATTACACTTTGAACTGTCACAGGAAGTTCTATGAGGATTTTTTTCCTGTCAGGCTTTTTTTTTTTTTTTGGTACCGGGGGTCAAACTCACATCCTTGTGCTTCTGAGGCAGGTAGCAGAACCACTGAGCTAAATCCCTGGCCCTGTCAGTTTCAAAAACTGAGACATGTCTGACATAGCTGCCTAAAGGCCAAAACAAAATTTTATTTGAACTAGAACCAGTACTTGGGATCGAGGAGAAGAATTTTTTCCCTTACCTAATCTGCTCCTTAAAAGCACATAAAGCACGTTCCATGGGCACTATTCGTATGTACCAGGGTCCACACATCTTACAAGCCCTGCACTACATGGTACTGGCCAGGGTGCTCGCTCTTGCTCATTAAATACTGCCTCTGTATGCACCAACACTGAATGATATAGCTCTAGAAGTATTTGCCACCAACAATAAGGACTGCTAGAAGGAAGCTGCTATTTCAGCAGTATACAAAATATTGACAAGTCCTTACCACGTGTAGGCGCTATGCTCAGTTTTAGAATTTCTAACATGTTAAGACAGGTGTTGCCTTTTAAAACCTTTATTATCTAGTTGTGAGACAGAAGATTTACATGTACAAATACATGTCAGCACAGCAATATGTCAGTATCAAATACACTCTAGAAATGCTACGTGTGATTTTATGTGTAACATCGAAGTAAATTCATTCCACATCCATCACATTAGACTACAGGTGGTTTCTCCCCCTCCAGGGTCTGCTTCTCTCTTCTGG